CAAAAACAAACAAACAAAATAAAAATAAAATGGACTCACAAATCGAACTATATCGAACTACGTATATCAGAAGGTATTGGAAGAATCAATTCCTTTTTTTCACAGACATACCAAAATAGATGCAGTTAAGTCAATGACACAATTTCTTCATATAATAGTGGTACAAAAGCCAAAGATCCAATGACCATTCACACGATAAAAAGCTAGCTATCTATCAATCTAAATCTAGTGAATACCTATTATTATCTTATTTTTAAAGTTTTTTATGACAGCCATTTGCAAAGAAAAAATATATAACTCACAAATTTAGGCAAAACGTATATCAGAAGGTATATATTGGAAGGATCAATTCGTTCTCTTCGCAGACAAACCAGATATAGATGTAATCCAGTCAAATCACACAGTTTCTTCATATAATGGTGGTAAAATCAGGATATACTGTTTGGCCCATGGCGTGCCCTCTTCTCTGTTCACGTGGTATGACCCCCGTAATCGATCAATATCGACTGGAACTCATACTCTTACGGTTGTTGGTGTCTTGGAACTAGTAACCATTGACGCAGGCAGCTATGGGCTGTGCAGGTGCAAAGCAGAAAATTTACTTGGTTATGATGAACACATTATCAATGTCACCCAAACAGGTTTGAATTTTATTTTCGTTTAATAGTTCTTATCATTCTTTTTTATTTAAAACCACAATCATCTTAAAGTTGTTTCAAAAACCAAGAAGCGAGCAAAAATTTTATGAAGAGGTTTCTAGATTTCATTGTGTAAATTACTTAAGGAGCACTCATGCGTGAGCTGATATAAAGTTCTGGAGTTTCGGCCGCGAAATTATAAATTTCTTGTTCAATCATTTTTTATGGTTTATTCTTTTATTTCATGTCCTTCATTATCAATCTACTGCATTTGCGTTCAGTCAATATTTCAAAAGAATTCTGAAATTGTGTATTATATATTTAGTGTGCATGCACGTGGGAAAACAAAACAAAAAATTTGAATTGGTATCTTCTAGCTCTTCCTACTTCTACGGTACCATCGGAAAGTAAACGCCATGTAAAAGGCTCAATATCAAGAGTTAACCGAGGTAATCTAA